GAAATCTAGGCAAAAAACAACAAACAGTTTCTGTCCAGCTACGTCAGTCAAGTGTTTGTTCTGTTTTAAGCATGAAACCCCCTTCATTCAAGAGTGTTTTCCATCTATTAGAAACTCCAATACATTTGCAGCCACCATTTTCAGGTAGCTATGGACATTACGGCTAAGATTGAGCAAATGTTCAAGTGTTAACACACTAGATATGCTTCATATTTAGCCGTGTTTATTTTTATACAGCAATAGGTAACCCAACTACTATCATGTAACCTTTTGTGTTGGGAGGGGGGAAAGCTAAGAAGTTGCACAATCAATTTCTCAAGCACCAAGTTAAAAGCAGTTTTCCTTCTACAAAAACTACTACTGCCAAGCAGTATATGTTAATAACTACTTCTGAACTGCAGATACAGCTCTAAGTATTTAATAGCTGAAGTACTACAGAAGTTAACAGCACAACCAATAATCACTAGTGAGTACTTGCTACAAATAAAATGGTGCCCAATAAATAGATCCAAAACACCAGCATCAGTAAGTGAGCATGCTGCATGCACTTTAATTTTGTAATCCAAATTCAGTCAAAAATAAAAGTTGATAGGATTCATGTTGGCAGGAAATAGTATACCCAAAATGTGTCCATGTGTCCTTTAAATACACTACAGTATACAGTAGGTAAGCAATAAATACACATTAGAAACATGTTGAATGGTTACTTCTAAAAGCAAATATACAAATCCTTTTGACACCCGGACAGAACTAGAAGATGCTGCCAGATGGATATGGACCACTTCAGTGAATCTCGGATGAGAGCTTGCACTGGATTGGCTGGAGAGAAGGGCAGCCTATCAGGCCATCCCCAGGTCATGAGCTGTGGTTCAGAGGGCAGAGTTCTATGACTTACCATCATGGACTACCCTTTAATTAAAGAGTAGAAAAAAGAACAAAGTTAAATTGAGTTCTCCATTAAAATAAGTTAATCAAACCATGAAAATAGTAAGCAGAAACAAGCACTGCAACATGTTGTATAATGTATATTTGATCTAAAAAACAACTTACAGCTCATTGTTTTGCATATAGGACATCAAGCTCATTTCTGCTACTATTTTCCTGGTTAGGACAAAATGGAAAAGAATAAACTTACCAGGCAGTCTGAACGAGGGTTTGATTACGTTCACATTCTAAGACTTGTAAATACATAACAATGATCTAAGGAAGAACAGAAAAGAAACCCAACTTTAATATGTGAGACAAGTGACAGATAAATGATTTCTAATACAAGAAAATTTTGTATGCTTTAGAGCGTATCTGTAGTCTATTCCCACCCCACCAGAGTATAGGCTGTATGCCCATACATAATTATTTGAATCAGAGATGTCTGGACAGAACACAAACCTATTCCACTAACTTCACACGTGATTTTTCAAAAGTCACTTCTGCCATTTCACAAGGAAGTGGCTTATTAAAGTTAATCTGCCAGTCACCCAAACATTTTGGTAGCTTGGATGTGATCAACTCCAGCTAAATTCAAAAGGATGTAGCAGAAAAACCCGAAGCCACTTCCAAACCTGTGTTTCTTGTACCACAGCTCACAATGATGCCATGACAGCAGCACAATATTTACAAGTAGAATAATCTTTGACAACTCACCTTATGTGGATGCTTGACATGAACACAAAATCCCAACTCCTTCAGTACCCTTCTTTCTGCTTTGATTACTTGATTTTTGGTGTTTATGTAGTTCTGATCAAGTATCAGGGGGCTTGGAGTCCTATAGTTTGTAAGAAATAAAATCAAAACTGTTTTGCATATCCAAAATAGTGGCTTCTCTGTTTTCCCTTCCAACCAACTAATGGCAACAGAAACCGGTTTTAAACTCCTGCAAGCAAGTTTAAGCATTAATCTTGTGCTGTCCATGTTTAGATGAGCTAGTTTTGTTTCTGCCTGAAATTCCTGTGACTTAGCTGTGATTAAAGACCTAAAGCTGAACAATAATCCTTTGCTTCTGCGTGCAAACTGCCTCTCTAGGATCAGGTACTCATATTTTCAAATGCCAAGTGACTAAAATCTGACTGCACACCCATTAGCTCAAACCATACTTTAAGCACTTGACAGCACTCACTTCTAAGTTTAATTTATGCAGAAACTTCATGTTTTATTTTACTACATTTCCCATTCAATGGGAGGAAAATGAAGAGTGCATCAAAAGAAATCTGACAACGGGTGTCTGCACCTGAAAGCTTGCGAATAATTTTTCCAACTATTTTAGTTGGTCTACTAAAAGATACCAGATTTACCCAAAGAACCTTGCCTGTCAAAAGAAAACAAGGCTCACAAAAACTTGGACACAAAAATTTCTTGTGCTTTAAAAGAGACCTATATAGAGCAAGGATTTATTTTCATAATAATAAATACTAATGCACCCATGGGCAAAAGTACTATAAAGAAAAATACAACACATTCTGAATCCTGAAGTATTAAGTTATGAACGTCAGGTATTTGTTTTTCCATTAAGACGCTTGAAAATTAAGAACTCTATATATATCACTTCTAATACAGAGATACTAAAACACACAATTGTCAAACTTCCAATTCTTTTCAAAATTTCATACATCCTTCATTCCATTTTTTAAAATTCTCCAATAAAACCAATGTACTAACAACACCCTCCTCTTGCCTTTGTTTTTGCTTGGTTATTCATACGGCTGTATATATAGTCATTCCTTTTACAAAACTTGTAAAGGCAGGGACTTTCTCCATATCTACAGAATGTCAACCACCTTTTGAAGTCTACAAGATATAGATATTTATATTTTATAAATTTGATAACCAAGTAATCAATTAAAATGCAAACTGTTCATCTACCCAAGTAATAGAACAACATACCTGCACTAGTCACAGCAAAACCTGTTTTCTACATCACTAGTTTGACTAGAAAAGGGCAACACAGAACAGTTTCAGATCCAATGCTACAGTTAAACAAACAGCGCAGTTCCTTATTAAGCTCTTAAGAAATTGTGGAAGTTCTGCAGTCAGGCGCCAACTACCTTTCTCTTTCAGGTACTCAACGCAAAGCTGTTCACAGTCCAGTTTCCTCCCCTGGGTGGAGTGACCAAACAAACTACAACCAACTTAGTATTCAGAAGCTCTGAATTACAAGTACCATTACAGCTCAAACGTTATCATTAAGACTCTTACTTAAGATTTTTATCATTATCTACAAATGCTTGTATCTTTTGAAATCTGACAAGCTGTTTCAACATATTAGATTGTATCTGGCCACCCATGACTAAGTCTGAGTTTACAGACTATGTCAGGCCAGGGGGGAAGAGGGAAAAACCCAGTAATTATTATTTTTTTAAAACTAAAGCTGAACTGGACACATCAGTCCATACAATGATGTTTAAAATGCTTATGTATGTACGCAATATAAATATAATAAAACTCCAAGGCATCTAGAAATTAACTCATATAAATCTTTGAGACAAAAGGGCTGCCAAAGGGTAGCATGAATGGTTACATGCTCATTAGCTTTTCTGCTCCTCACCCACAGAACCAGAAACTATGCTGTTATTTGCCACTATGCAAATAATGCTTTCTTGTCATGTTTTAGAAATGATACAACTTATTCTAGATGTTACAGATGTTACAATCCTGTTGAAGTGTATTCTTTCACCTTTTGGAGTCAGCAAAAGAATGAATCTTTCTTCTTAAAAGAACTAAAATAACTAAAAGCTCCTTGATTAAGCAGATATTCAAGATGGAATGGAAATTTAAACATAATGGCTTGGGGTAGCCCTACTGCCACTTGGTCGGTTTACAGTTAAAGAGTGCTGAAGTTTGACTTGCACTGAAATCTACTCAGAGAATGTTAAGGTAATATTCAAGTTAAAAATCCTATTTTAGAATTTGTACAGGTCTAATGGAATATTAACAAAGCCAGTATATTTCCAAAGCAAAAATAATTTTAGTGGTGTAGGGTCAGCTTCTCATTATCTTGTTACTATGTCATGTTGCGAGAAGAAGAAAAAATAATCTCCCTAAAAGCAGTTTAGTCCACAGAAGTTGGGACTTCTCCCAGAAGTACATGTGGACTAGAAGTTAGGCCTACTCTAAAGGTTTATTACTAATGTCCCCCAGTTATATCTTGTACTTCCACCTACACAAAGGAAGCCTACCTTTCTTATCCGTTTGTTATACATAAAACCAACATTACAGAAACCGTCTATTATATTTTTAGACAGTAGCATAAGATTAGAGGTTTGTGGTTACTTCCGCATCTTTAAATACTCCTTTGATATCTAGGCATTACGTGCTCCTAAATCTTACTCCAGAGGTACACAATCATCACCAAGGTGATAGGGGAGGGAAGATCAGATCAACAGAGAATGTTTGTTTTACTCAATTGCAGAGATAAGACGTTATGCTCATCTGAGACACCAATTTTATAGTGCCACTACAGAAAGCACTTTTCCCTTGTAGCTATAAACAGATATAAAAAAAAAAACTCATGGGCTGCAATGTGGAATATTTGATCTACAAGGCAGTAAAACTGAGCTTCTATACAAGGGACCATCATTCCACGTGGCTTGTAGAAATGCAAATTTCAAAGTATTAAAAAGCTAATGGAAAGGACCTTTAGAAGCTTATACCATGACAAATCAAAATGGTAGATTTTAAGTTTAGGGGTTAAAAATGCTATAGAGGGCTATAAACTGCTTAGTTTGGTAGCCAACGGAAAGAGGAACGGCTTGCTATTGTTTTCAGCTCTCCCCCATACCCAAAATGTGATGTCCTAAAGGCTTTCAGATTGGCCACATGGGGCCACCACTTTTTTTTGTGGGTTTCAAACTGGAGAAAAGAAATTAGTGATACCAGAATGAGACACATCTATTCTAACCATACAGACCTCCAACCCAATGCAGCCAAACAAGCTTTCACATTTTCTTCTTGAATACCATTCTTCACAGTGTAACAGTTTAACTGTATCAATGGTGTAGGTTAAGTTCCACTAAAAAAATAAAAAAGTGTAAGCCTTGCGGCATTAAACGTCAGGTCAGGCTGACGTTTGATGTAGCCATAACACTCAACAGATCATTAAGACGTGGAAGATATTTTTGGTAAATGGATTTAATAAACTAAAAGGAATAATGAAAAGCTATGTACTCCTAATTGGAACCCTCATTTCTCTGGAACACAACATATTAGAACATCTTGTTTCCACTAAAATGATGATGAAGTGTACAGAAGAGGAAAAAGAAAACAAATCCATACTTATTTTACATTATAAGAAAATACTTCAGACTACAGACACTGCCTAACACCTGCATCTTGCTAAAACTACAAGTGCCTGAATTATGTCACCCTACTCAGTGCAATGTAAGGAAGAGTTCTGCCTAATAGTCTAAATGAGTAAAACAAACTTCAAGAGTGTTTTTTATAAATGTCAATGTAAGTTATTTGAATAGAGGTTACTTTAAAGTCAAGTCTGACTCTTGAAAATTTTGTGACATTACTTCATTGATATAGTCAAACTACAGTAAGTTTATTAAAAACATTGCTCTGGTTTATGAAGCATATGTTGCTTTTAAGAGAAAAGTCGTATTTGGCTGACATTCAGCAGGGACTGTCAGCACACAGTACACTTAAGGATATAAAACAACCAAAATAAGAGATCCAAAGGATATAATTGCTACCTACTTTTAAATTATGTCCCACATGCTAAATAATGCAAGCATATTTTCAAATACCCCCTTACCCCCAACCTTGTTCAACATATCAGCATTCTTAAAAAGCAAGATTGTGAACATGATGGTCCATTTATGAAAGATATTTTGTGTAATGTTCTATACTGCACACTCTTGGGGAAACGTTACCTCACACACCTGCATCCACTATCTAGAAAGCAACTCTGGAATTCTGGGATTAAGCCCCAATCATACTAGCACTTGTGTACAAGGGATGTAACCTAGGCACAACAGTAGGTTTACAGTGTCAGGACTTTCTATCCTTGAACAGGCTCTCCTTGGGGAAGCTTCAATTAAGAGGCAGGAGTTGGAACTAGGAACCAAAACTGTCTAAATAGAGACAAACAAACAAACAAAAAAGCAATCCTGTTGTTTCATCTTGCTCTTAACCTAGATGTTATGACTTGCAAAAAATATGAAAGGCAATATGAGAAATAAGTGCAAACTAACTGTTTTAATAATTCCTGTGTCTGTGTAAAAAGACTACAACCTAAATGTTAGTGTCAAATGTTCTAAAAACCTGGACAGCAAAGAAAAAGGCTTAGAACAAGATACAGGAGTTCTTCCAAATGGTTCACCAGCGGCCAACCTGTTAGTCCCCCGATTCCAGTGACCTATTCTCAGAGCACTGGCTTCTCCTTGGGGATTTTCGATACTTCACTCACTGTTGCCATGACGACAGCTTCATCTCTATGTACCACTCCACATCACCCAGGGTTTGGTAAATGTAGCTGGTCGCTGTATAGTCGGTTGCAAGGGAAAAAAGAGTTGAAGTTAATAACATGTACAGCTTATGTAATAAGCTTGTAAAAAGTACAGAAAAATGTTTATCCTGCTTGGGTTAAAAAAAAAAGCAAGTCTGAATTTCAGACTTAAGGTTTTTTTAAGAATAGTTTTGTGTAGATTCACTTCTCAGAATCTAAAAGACGATACCCATTTCTCCAGAAGTGGGATAACAAATGGGTCAATAAGAGAACAAGATCCTCTTTAGACATGATGCGCGCTTGACACCATGTGGCATGCAGTGACATTCTTATCTGGAACAATCTATCTTCAGTGTCAAATTAATACCTAAGTTTCCATTTCTTTGATCCTTTAGCAGCTTACAGAAGCAACTAATTTGCATTCTCACCATAAAGACATTATTACATGATCAATTAACTTTTATTGTTAAGCCTGAGATATTAAGGAGAACTAAAACTGATTTTAGCAGTCAAGTAGAATCTTCTATTGTAATTATGGTAAGAATATACCATGGTATAACAACATACTAGCTCAAACTTTGCAGAATCCTCCCAGTAGAAGAACTTATTGTTCTAAAAGCCAGGTTCTATTCAAATACGAAAAAAGAACAATAGTCAATTTTCCTTTTCGTAAAACTGACTTGAAGAGAGCGTGTGGCAAAGAGAAAGGTTTAAATTCAAGGCACAACTATAGCCAGATTAAGTACTTAAATAAGTGCACCAATAAATGCAACAACTTTCCCTCAATTATTTCAAAAACATAAGTTTTGGAATCTCTCTCACTCTTTGAATTCCCTCTTCACCTAGTAAGACAAGACAAAGAAAAATTCTCTTTTACAGCTAGACAGAACTTCTCAGACAAAAATATTGATGTTTAATTACCTATTCAAAAACAGCACTGCAAGAAAGTTTGCAACATGGCTTAAAAGCGTAATTTTAAGAAAAAGTGTTGCCTTAATCAGTTTATTAAAAGAATATTTTCTCTTCAAAACACATTCCTTGCTCTTTTAACATCATGTTGACTGGCCTTATACACAGAAACACACATGGCTTTACAAGAAAAGCCAAAAAATAAGCACTCGGCTAAAAACAGACTTAAACCTAAAACAAGAAGCATCACCCAGAACGCCACAAACATCATCACATGACTACATTTCAACTTCTCTAATTTATGTAATGGCACTACACCATAAAAATACCAGTCTCTCTTCCAGTAATTAAAGGTATACTCAGCCTCCAGCCAATTAGATACTTGACAGCAAATATATAATTTTCAAGCTGTGTGCGCTACAGGCCAAATTACACCACCTACAGTTACACACTATGATATTTTTTGACGGGCTTGTAGCTTATCAGGCTTCAGTCTTTTAAGACCTGATATATGGTCTACTGCAGCCACATGGGGATTATAAGCATTTTAGCAAGACCCTAATTCAAAGGAGAATGACACCAGACCTGCATGAAAGATTCGGCAGGCAAGAGAAAAACGTACAACCCAGCCGGGTAACCACTACTCACATCCAGGATTTCTTTTAAGACTTACTGACCCTCAATTAGCCACAAACAGACTTTTACGCTACACCCAACACTCAGGGCTCCTCCTGCAAGTATCCAGCACGTAGCTACAAGGTTTGCCTAGGCTGCTCCTGCCCAAGCCCTGCAATGGCACAAACGGAAGCCAGCTTTGGGAACATCACTGCCTATGGTCACCCCCTTCTCCGCTTTTGTGCCTTGCCTGGCAGGCCTGAAAACCTCCACGGCTGCGGGGGGGCGGGGGCGTGCAGGAGACGGAGCAGACCTTACCTCTTGGCTCTGAGCTGGCGCAGGTAGTGGAAGACGTTGATCACATCACGGATGCGGCGTGGTGCCTCCTCGATCTTGGATGCCAGGTTGATGCAGGCCATGGCCACGATCTGCAAAGAAGGTCATTTCCATGAGAGACGTGGGGCCATGGGTAGGGCCACCAACCCCCGCCCCACAGCCACCCCCAGGCCTGGTCTGGCCCGGCCCAGCCCAGCCCAGCCCAGCCACTTACCTCGAAGCTGTGCTTGACGAAGGACTTGGAATAGAAGAAGCGGTGGAACAGCACCTGCCCCGTCGCCATCGCCACCTGCCAACACAAACCCCGGGGGGGGAGCAGGGCCGGGTCAGCCGCGGGCGGACTGGCGCGCACCCCCCCCCCCCCCCGGCCCCCCCCCGGGCCCGCCATTTTGTGCCGGGCCCCGCCCCCCCCCCCCGCTCTCCCCCCTCCCCTCCCCCGCCACAATGGCCGCCCCGGCCCAGGCCCAAGCGCCACCGACCTGCGGCAGGCGGGGCAGGATGCCGGCCGCCTGGATGAGCTCGCAGCCCAGGATGCGCAGATCGGTCTCGCACTGCAGGTCCAGCCCGTCCTGCATGGAGGGCGTGGGCGACAAGCGCTCCTCGGGGATCAGCGAGTGGTCGATGGTGAGTGACACCTCCGAGTACAGCCGGTCACCGATGAGGATGCCCGGGGCGGGAGCCGGTGGCGGGGCCGGGACGGGGGCTGGGGCCGGGGCTGCGGGCGCGGCGGCGTC